TTTTTTTTTTTTTTTTTTTTTGCACATTGAAATGTTAGATTGAAAAATCTGGGGAAAAGGAACCTCCACAGACTGATATGATATAATAGAGTTTAGAAGGTAATTATTGTCAATATATTCTGCAGTCAAGTTTGCCGCAACTTTTTCTGATTTCTTTTAGGTACTACTTCAGAGAAATTTGATTCAATTTTCAAGTTTAGCAAATCCTTTTTGTTCTTTTTCCCAGGCTGTACTTGCTGACCTTTCAACCCTGAAGGTTATGCCTCTTCTTCAGATCTTCCTGTTTGCCACTGTCACTTGATCTGCTTCAAGGTCACTGACACCACACATCCAGTCTTTCATTAGAAACTAATAATGAACTATGCAACGTCTGCATAAAACCAAATTAAACTGTATGTATATGTCACTTACAAATCATGTTCTCTTTACAGTTAAATGCAAGTTTTTCTACATATAAAATAATAACTTTACACACTAACCTGTGCATTTGCATGCTGCTGTATTTCAACATAACAGCAATAGATATAACTGATGAGGTATGAGAATCATTACTTGTGCATATAAATAACACAAATCAATGTATAAAATGCATGTAAAATGCAATAAAACAAAGGTAATGCAGTTAAATTCTTGATCTAATATGAGTGCCGTAACAGATCCACTAATATCAGATTGGAGAAAACTGTCTTTCATCTGATTATAACTTATTCAAGCCCCCACTACAAGAATGTCAACTCGAGAGTACAGTAACACTTGAAAATGTGCTTTAACTTTTGGGAACTTTTATGTCATTTCCTAGGAGAAATCAGAGAAATGCTTCTGTTCCATTTCTGTTTTCCAGGAGTCCTCTTCATGTTCTTCCCCATTTTACTTATTTCTTTTTAATCTATTGATCCCCCACAGCCTTTCTAAGGGCTGGTCTACACTGGGGGGGGGGGATCGATCTATGATACACAACTTCAGCTACACGAATAGCGTAGCTGAAGTCAAAGGCCTGGTCTACACTACGACTTTAATTCGGATTTAGCTGCGTTAATCCGAATTAACCCTTCACCCGTCCACACTACAGAGCCACTTAATTCGAATTAAAGGGCACTTAAAATCGATTTCTGTACTCCACCTCGACGAGCGGAGTAGCGCCTAAATCGATTTTGTTAATTCGAATTAGGGTTAGTGTGGCCGCACACCACCGAATTAATGTGGTTAAAAAACGAATTAAGGTGCTTAGTGTGGCCGCGCACAATCGAATTTATACAACCTGTTTCCCAAATTCGAATTATCTAAATTCGGATTAATCCTGTAGTGTAGACATACCCAAAGTATCTAAGATCGAATTACCTGGGGTCCACTCGGCGCGGGATCGACGGCCGCGGCTCCCCCGTTGACTGCGCTACCGCCGCTCGCTCTGGTGGCGTTCCGGAGTCAACGGTGAGCGCGTTCGGGGATCGATGTATCGCGTCTTAACGAGACGCGATATATCGATCCCGGATAAATCGATTGCTACCCGCCGATACGGCAGGTAGTGAAGACGTACCCTTAGATATCTATCACTAAGTATCAAAGGATGAGAGTTTCAAAAGTGCCTAAGAGAGTCTTGCCTTGCAAAAAGTGCTGGATATAGCTTCCTCCAGAACTTGTCAAAGCCTAGCTTTAAGTGAGCCAAAGCAGTTCCTGGAGAATGTGCTCATCACAACCTTCCATATGGAGCTGGCTAACTGGGATAAAAAGGGACTTGCACCTTTAAGAAATCCTTTATAATGGGTGTGGTGGAGGGGGGAAGCTTACAGGGATGGACAGGAAAAGGGCAGAGAGCAGGGCCAGGTTTGGAGAAGGACACTGCACTGCCCTTTCTGCTCACGGGAAGAGCGGCAGTGGGGAAGGGGTATTTATTCCCTATGCAGCCATGGCTGACAGCACCCACCCACCCATGAACTCAGCAAACCTCTTGACTTGCTGTGGGCATTACAGTAGTTGCCCTTTTCCTTGAGGCCTGGGAAGGAATTTTTCCCTCTGCACTAGATTGGCTAAAGTGAGGTGGTGGTGGGGGTTGCCTTTCCACAACTGGTCTGGTACCCAGTGGGGTGAAGCAGGGGGGTTAGGTTATAATGTCACAACTTAGTAAGTAAAACTAATTGCGGATGTGCTGTGCAGGTACTCATTATGGAACGGATACCATTATCAGATAAAATGGTTTGGAAAAAGATTGGAAGGAAAGCATCCTGTAAAGGGGGTTTGGGGACTCCTACTTCTTCTACAGTGGGGAACTGACCCTCCTCCTTTTCGTAGGCCCTTTTAAGAAAGCCAAGGAAGGGGGCTTGGTGCTCCTACGTCTGGAACAGTGAGGAGCCGACTCCCCTTCTTTTACGGCAGGGGCTCTCAAACTGAGTGCCGGGACTCCTCAGGAGGTCATGAGGTTATTACATGGGGGGGTCGCGAGATGTCAGCCTCCACCCAAAACCCCGCTTTGCTTCCAGCATTTATAATAGTGTTAAATATATAAAAAAGTGTTTTTAATTTATATGGGGGGTCGCACTCAGAGTCTTGCTATGTGAAAGGGGTCACCAGTACAAAAGTTTGAGTCCCACTGTTTTATAGCCCCTTCCCCCCACTTTCACCTCATATAAGAGGAGGGTGGAAGGGTTCCAGCAATTGGAATGCTGGGACAAGATTGGAGGTTATATGGAAATAATTAAGAAAATGATAACCTGGACTGTACAATTTGTTGCCGGGTACTGCCAGATATATTAAGTGAATAAAGTTGCAGCCTAATGAAACAACATCCATTGCCTTCTGTTTTTCTTCCAGCATGGATGCATAATTAAGATGGCAGGTCTTTCTTATCCCCTACCCCACTCACCCTTTTCGAGACCTGTATGTGTGTGTGGCCTCTGCTGGTCCAAGAGCTCAGGCTTCAATTCAGGATCCAGCTCATATCCCTGCATGACTGTGTATTGCACTGTCACTAGACCACCAGGTGGCCCATCTTCTGTTGATTATAATTTCTTTTTATGATTTTTCCAAGGATTCTGAAATAGTAAACAGAACCATTAGGATTAATGTATTACTTCATTTTAATACCTAAAAAAGGATTATAGTCAAAATTGAGTGAAGTGTATAACATTGTATACCCCATGCATTCACCATATCACTTTATTTTGGACCAGTTTCTACTTTCAAATACAGTATGGATGTGTGTGGAACTTGACCCTCTATATTTTAAGAGAGATCCAGCTTCCATTTACACTAGACTATTATCTACATTATTCATATACAGCATTAACAATGCAAATATTAGGTTTTTATAGACCCAAAAAAAGTACTTATACCTTGCATATAAATTGGGCCTGCTGAATGTATGACAGTAAGGCTATGTCTACATGGCAATGTAAGCCCGAGCTCAAGTCTAACCCCCTGGCATCTACACACCAATGTGTTAACCTAGGGCCCAAACCTAGTGTCCCAGGACTCTGCAGGGCTGAAGGGTCCAAGCCCATGTTAAGCTGGGATCTAGCGTCCGAGCCCTATTGCTTTCCTGTGTGCACACAGCCTTGGTCTGACTCGAATCCTGGAAGTCCTCTGGATGTATTCCAGAGATCCTTGGGGCAACTTCCTTAGTCCTCTCTCTGCTGACAGTTTGTGGTGCAGTCTATTGCAAATGGAAGCCACACCTCCCTTTGTCAGTTTGAGTACATTGACACTTCTCTTATGATTATGGCCATGCAGTCAATCTCAAAACAAACATCTAACAAAAGAGTTAATTACAAACCTATTTTAAAATAGTAGTATCGCAGAAGACTAGGACCTGGCATGTGAATTGAAGGCTGACTATATTTTTCAATGGACAGGAGTAAACACAATTTGTGCAAGACAAAGAGTGTGGCTAATTTTTATGCTTTGTATTTTTTTTAACAAATAATTGAATCTCTTTATATACCTACTGATTAGAACACAAATTAGATTTTGACAAGCAAGGGCTCAATGTAAGCTCTGGGATTTACTAGTGACTCTATAGTTAGTTTTATCCAGCAGTTTTTTGGTGGTTCATAGAAAGAAATATTTTGTACTTATATGGCACTTTTCAGCTGAAACCGGGATTAGTTATAGTTCCCAAGACCCCTTACTAATGTTAAATCAGTACAAATGAACTGTAGATAGCAGTGGTATTTAATTGTTTTCTATCTGTATAGAATTGCATCCTAACTTTTTTGTTACTAGTGACATGATATTTTTCCTCTTTCCACTTTCTTTAGATGCTTTTAGGTTACAAAAAAAAAAATGTGGCTTTGAAGGCCGATTCTGGTTCATTGATGCTGATGTGAAGGTTGGACTGTGGAAAATTAGCATTGTTACAGCTTACAAAGGAAGTTAGTTATTTTCAGTATTCACGTTACTAGTGAAAAATTTGATTTCACCAACTTGACAGACATATAATTAGATATTTAATTTTAGTTCATGATACTTAGAACATGCCAGACAAAGCAAACACAAACACTTAAACTTAAAAATGTATTATAAACATTAACCTTTACCAAAACCAACTTACAAAGACTGCTATTGTTAAAAATGAAATGCAAGAAGAGTGATACTAACACCTGCTTCTCCAACACACACTTTCCACATTCAGGCCAGAGGACCCCACCTTGTCCCTCTACCCTACAATACATAGAATCGTAGGACTGGAAGGGACCTTGAGGGGTTATCTAGTTCAGTCCCCTGCACTCATGGCAGGGCTAAGTATTATCTAGCCTGGGGTTCTCACAACAAATTTTTTGGTGGCCTCAGAGTACGGCCACCAACTCTTGCTGGTGGCCACTTTGATAATTTTTCCTAAAATACTTAATTAACTTTAGGAAAAACATATAAATAAGAACATATATACATCCAAATCATAGTAATTTATTTATGTAAGGGTTTTTTGCAGACTGAATAATAAAAATAATGTACAGTTGTCTCTATTCTTTACTAGACCTAAACAGAATAGAAACACAGATAACGTGCATGGCATGTTCTTGTCTTGTTGTTTCATTGCTTTTTTGGTTGCATTTTTGTTTGACTTGCTAGCTAGTAAGTCTGCTTCTGTGAAAAATGATATTTGTATGTTTGTTAATATCACTTCTCACAGCAGATTTCTTAGCTAGCTGGGAGGCAGTGAAAAGTTATATTAACAAACATATAAATATCACTTCTCACAGAAGACTTACTCAGCCCTGGCAAGCTAGGGATAAATTAAGCCTTAGATGAGGAAGGAGGTAGTGGAGGCCATGGGTGATGGGGTGGAGGGGTCAAGGGATGGAGTCTGCCAGGTCCTGCAGCTGGGGGGCCACAGCCTGTGACCAGAGCCCGCCGCTGTGCAGTTGGAACCTGCCCGGAGTCTGCCCCAGGGCTGAACCCGGAAGCCAGAGCCCCACTGCCCTGGGAAGGTGGGGAACTCACAGGTGTCTGCTCTTCCGGCATTGTGGCTCCAGAGGGGGACAGGGCCAAACCCATCCTGGTGGTCCCAAAGGAGGGGCCACTGTTTTCCCCCACCTCTCCAATCACTGCCCATAAGGCTGTGGCTGCAAGAAAAGCCCCTGGTGGCTGCATTTGAGAGACACTGATCTAAACCAGGATTGGCAACCTTTGGCCCGCGGCCCGCCAGGGTAAGCACCCTGGCAGGCCGGGCCGGTTTGTTTACCTGCTGCGTCTGCAGGTTCGGCCGATCGCAGCTCCCACTGGCTGTGGTTCGCCATCCCAGGCCAATGGGGGCTGCGGGAAGCAGCGCAGGTCGAGGGATGTGCTGGCTGCTGCTTCCCGCAGCCCCCATTGGCCTGGAGCGGTGAACCGTGGACGCGACAGGTAAACAAACAAACTGATTCTCAAGGGATAGTAAGTCGTAAAGTGCCCTAACTCTGTGGAACACCTTTCT